ATAGTTTGTAATTGGAACCATAACTCTTATTTATTCAAATTGTATTAATATGTAAAGACCAAGTGTAACCTATATCATCGTTAAATCTTATCTTATAAAAYCAGTGGAACTTCAAAATCGTTAAAATTCATGGCTCCCGCCGCATTGCGCGGATACACAACTAGTCTAGCAACATAAAGCGTCTGAGAATGTGTAGAATCCTCATATCACTCTTCAAAATATATTTTGAGAAGAAAGGGGAGACCCCAATATATATGTATATATATACAGGAGAATTGGTCCAAGCTTAGCCGATGTGGGCTCCAACACACCCCCTCCAATGGAAGGCTAGATGGACACAAATTATTCGAGGGTGTTGAGAAGGGGTTAGTTGGAGTATCGATTCCGACACTCCTAAAGTGGCAGACGTTGGCTCTAATACCATGTAAAAATATGTGGAACCCCTAGATCACTATCCAAAAGAGTCGTTGAGAAGAAAGGAGAAACTCTAACATATATGCAAGAGAATTAGTCCAAGTCTAGCCGATTTGAGACTCCAACAAAAGGAAAAGACAACTCCTCCGTTCTCGTTTTGACGAAAACGGGATTCATTTCATTCGAGTAGATACCATAGAGACAACGTTTTGTAAATCGTTGTTCGGATTCAAAAACAACATCAAACGTTGCCGCTGGTTAGGATAAATTTTTGAAACACCCATCATACTACATTTTGTATGGATTTTTGGAGAAATACGATTAACTTTCACTGTATATACGACTCCCATATTTCAATATTTCAAACTATGTAATTTGATTACTCTCTAGAAAATGAAGACTCTTGCAAATTTAATAAATTTAGTTTGTGTTTTTAAAATTGATAACTACCAATTTTATAACTTTAACTTAATATGGAATCATACTATACATCCTTTGGTTCTTTTTTGTTATTGTTGATCGGCATACACCTCGGTCTTCCTCGAGGCTTATATATGCATTGTGTTAGTAAGGGAAAACATCTCACCAAATGTATCATCTTCTCAAAAATTGCATATGACTAGTCTTCCAAATAAATTTATCACCTACACTTGGTTTCTCTATGTAAAAAAATCAAGAGGGTGTGTGTGTGTGTATATATATATATATATATATAACGAGAGGCTCTCATTTTTAATTTTATATCGTGTAATTTATTCATGTTGTGCATTATTGTGTGCCTTTGAATGGCCTGCAAATGTTAAATGACATATTTTCTTTCTATTTAATGACATATATATGATGGGAAAGAAAACTATAATCATATTAAACTTGTTATAAATAGTTAAGTGCTAAATTACATGCAAAGTACTGATGCACTTCCCCCATGCAAATTTACTTGATAGAACCACAGATAGACGATATGCGATTAAACCAGAATCAGATGGTGCAGATTTACACTTTCAAGACTTAACCAACTTGTGATCATCCACGTGTGTGTGTATATATGTATGTATGTGTGCATTTATGTGTGTGTGAATATACATACGTACATACATATATGTGTATATATATGTATATTATATATTCAACTCAAATTTTGTATATGAAGCCACTTTTCAAAAAGATACTTAATAAGTGGTCGAATCTTAATCGAGGAAGCCCTTCAAGACCGTATTATGGATCGGTTAAATTGAAGGTCTGAAGAAAGAATGTTGCTCTAAGAAACAAATCATAAGTTGAATGTTATTCTACTTAAAGAACAACATGAATACCAATTAGATCGAGGTATGATCAATTATCACTTCAGGCCCTCTAAGAGAATTTCCATATTGTAGTAAAAAAGGGTCCCAAATCAAAGGTCTGTGATGATCTCAAGCTAAATACACATCAACTTGGACATGATCAATACATAGATGTATGTCTACAGCTAAAAATATAACATCATACATGTTACCGGAAAATGTTGCTTTCTTCGTTTCATAACAATCAAAACATTTCTTATGATGTAACATTTCTATCTTTTATAAGGAAGTTCTGATAAATACTTGCTAATTCCCCCATTAATATTCCTTTCAAAAGTAATTGTCCTTTAACATGCATGAATGAGAAACAAAAATTAAGATAAGAACATATATAGAAGTATAACGATGGATCTAGTTAAACTGACCTAGTGTTGGAGAATTCATGAAGTTTGCCGGTGCTAGAGAAAATCATAACACCGACCTCAGCATCACACAAGATCGCAAGCTCTTTAGCCTTCTTCAGCAATCCACTCCTCCTCTTCGAGAACGTCACTTGCCTGCTCGTTGAATTGTCAATTCTCCTAATCACGATCTTACCCCTCCCCATATCGATCCCTAATTTATCAATCAAAATTCAATCTACTGAAAGAATTCGCACAAACAAATCTATATTCTACAATCAAACACATAAATAATACAACAAAACATGTAGAATTGATAAATTTGTGCATCTGAGTACAGCTAAATGTATATAGATACATAAGTTTACCACAAATAAGTATAGATATATACAGTGAGACTGTACAAGAGAGAGAGAGAGAGAGAGAGAGAGATAGAGGGAGAGAGAGAGGATTTCTTCAACGAAAATCCTCGGATTCAAAAAGTTAAACAACGAATCTAAGCATAACGATGAACGAATTGTGCGTCAACGAGAGATCGAGTGTGTGAGTTGTAAAAATCGAAGATGAAATCATTGCTTACTTTCAGAAGATTTTGGATGCAGACAAATGGAGACTTGACCAAAGTAATCAATCAGTCTTCGTCGTCGTCTTCCTTGGATCTCTCTCTCTCTCTACTTTCTCTCTCTATAGATATATATCTATATATATCTCTATATCTATAGGTGTATGTATCTCTGGTTTCCCAAAAGAGATAACAGTCGTCTTCTACATAAGGAAAGTTGTGTCTGCTCTCTCCATATATGGTAGGTACTACAAAGCCTTTCTCTCTCTAGAAAAAACCACTTTTCAACATCAAATCCACACTCTCTCTCTACAAAACCATCCTCTTGTATGACTGAAACCGCTAGTGCTATTTTACTCGATTTAGAAAAATGAATGGTGTGATGACACGTGGCCCAATCAGGTTTTAACTGTGACATTTTTAATTCTTATTGATTTCTACAACACTAATCCTATAGATCACCGACACGTGGTAGCTTTTTTTAGCATTAAAGCTCGACTTTTCATTTTTGAAGGGTAGTGCTCTTTTTTGTTTTGAGGGTTTCGAGATTTTGTGTTCTGACTATTTTGCCCTTCTGCTAGTCTGGTATTGTGGGGGGTTTGAACTATTAATATTTATATTTCAATTATCTACCTTTATCTTTCTTTATTGACCATATAAGTCCCTTAGGGGCCGTTTACCAAACGCTTACTCAGGTAAGCACTTACCAAGTCACATTAGCTTACCAGATGAATATGATAAGGATCAAGAATGTTATCCAGTAAGAACGAGACAAAGACCAAAAGTCTTACCGGGTAAGTGAGAGCGACGACTCTTACCACAGGGTAAATTATTGTATACAATTACTTTTTGATAGACTAAAATTTTGTCCGGTAAGTAACTGATAGTGTTGAATTTTACCGTAAACGCTTACTGGGTAAGTGTTTGGTAAATGACCCCTTAATCTTTTCAACAAAATTAATGATTTTTATATTTTGTGACAAGTGTTGAATTCATGACTATGTAAATTAACACCATTTGGGATCACTCAAGTGTAAGCTTGCTTCTATCAATTCAAGTCTCATTAGGATCACTAACAAGTTTTGCTAATGGTTAGACTGTTAACTTCAAGGGCTTGTGGGAATAATTAGTCGTAGAAAAGTTGATTATGACACTCACAGTTCTAAAATGCTCATAACTGTTTATATAATTGACTAAGGTAATATCAATCTATTGATTCTCATAATCATATCAGTTATATCATGTTCACGCTCATTCTCATTCAGCATGTTTTGTTTGTGCTACCTATTAAATTTTCAAACAGTTTTGACCTCCTCTAAGACTTTCCAAAAAATTGCAGTCGGAAAACAAACTCTCTGCTCCTTGGGCTAGAGGAACAAGTTTGTTTAGGGGGTGTTTGGGATTGCTTATAAAAATAATTTATTGACTTATTTCGGTGTGACACCGGTAATAAACACTTTTGAGTGTTTGGACAAACAACTTATATCGGTGTCAAACCGGTAATAAGAAGTTTTTGAAGAAGTTAAACCATTCAGACTTATAATAAGTTGATAAGTGTTTTTATAGAAAAGAATAAGTTGTTTCAAATAAGCAATCTCAAACACCCCCTTAGCTAGATCCTACCCCTCAGAAGATTACTCCCATATAGGATACATTGGATCTATGTGGGTTGGTTTCATAGTTAAGTTAATTAATAGCATTGTGTTGAAATTTGAGATGGGGGAATAATTAACGATATCAGTTTTATGTGATTCAGTATTAAATAAGTCCATTTTAATACATGTGGTTCTTGCTTTAAGTTATTTTTTGTGATCGTTAATTTATTCAGATAGTTATTAAGCTGTATAAGAAATTTAATATTATTCTCTTCATATGAAATTAGTATTGTTTCAATGATGCTTAATATATTTTATTTACAATATAAGGCCTCCAAGTCTTGTGACATGATCAAAATGACAAACATATTCTTGTACATTACAAATTTGGCCCTTTATTTGTATGACTTTACACACTTGACCCTAAACTTGCAATGCATTGCTCATTCTTTTGTTCTTTAAGAAAAGGATTGTGCATGACACATTGGTATAGATTTGTTTTTCTAAATTCAAAGCAAAGAATCCAGATAATTAGATTAGCAGTAGGTTTTTTTGTTCGAATGACCAAGTTGTTCATAGTATGTATGATTTCTTCATGTTTCTCTCTCTAGCTATGTAGACACGTCTGCGTCTACCTTAAGAAATTATATAATTGATACCATCCTTTCTATATTTATTTGTATTTTTTTTTATTATAACGATAGAAAAATGATATAACTGATCATTTATAACACACATAAATAAAGATGTTTTTAATGGTCAACCTTTGTGTTGCTAACATGTTTGTGCAAAAGGGTTTTTAACGAAAAACCCTAAGTCGGCTCATATCACCATCCATCCAATGTAATGTGAGAGGCAAATCAGGTACACAATAGACCCGCTACATAACTGACTTAAAAGCTCAATGTCCACAGGAATTGTGACTCCTACATTGTGGTTGTGCCATACTTGAACAATCACCAATATATGCAAGTGTACCACAATTGTGAACCAACTGTTCTACACCCTGAGAGCTTGTTGTTGAAATGTTGTCACATTTGACCTGACACTCTGCTTATTAGATGCTCAGTAAACTATCCATTATTTCCCATAAATCATATCACGTAGTTTCAAGACATGCATAAATGGTGAATCATCCCATGATGTATCTTATTGTATGGATGATGAGTGAAAAAACATTTAGTCTTATGTTCGGTTAATTATATATTTATAGAAGCAACTACCAGATCATTATCGATGCTTGCCAAACAAAAAGCATATATCTTAGATCAAGGTTTACATTTCATACTACGAAGATCATAGCTACTCACATAAAGTTATTGACTCTAAAAGATTTAGCAATATGGAAAAGACAAGATTGTCTCAAGCACTACTAAATAATCGAACACGTGACCACAAGGGTGGTGCCTGATTGGTTTGAGCTTGGCTCCAAAGGTCAAAGTATCAAGAGGTCCCAGGTTCAAATCCAAGGAGGAATAAAAATCTTCTTGTGGCCACCGAGGTTCAAATGCGGTGACTCCAGACTATCTGCAAAGCAGGTGGTCGTCTTGAGATTAATCGGTTCGCAAAACGGGTTGGATATACATGTTAATAAAAAAAAAAATCAAACACGCCCCTTCCTGACAAATGATAAGAAGCAGTACTGTAAGTAACATATATTGATATTGTCAAAGAGGAGAGATGTGGTATTTAAGAAATCAAGAAGTATATTCAAGTTTATGCAATAGAAAACATCCTATCACAAAGAAATATTATCAAATATGAAAAGTCACAAATCATACAGGGAATTAAAAAATACCAACATATACAGATAAATCCTTAACAAGCAAAATTTTGAACCTTGCAAAAAGTCAAAATTTGTTGAGACTGAATATCCAACCCGCTATGCGAGCCGACTAATCCCAGAACGACCACCTGCTTTGCAGATAGCCCAGAGTCATTGCATTTGAACCTCCGTGGCAACAAGAGGATTTTTATTCCTCCTTGGATTTGAACCTGAGACCTCTTGGTACTTTTGATATTTGAAGCCAAACTCAAACCAATCAGGCACCACCCTTGTGGTTTATATATATTGTTTCCATTCTAACACTTGTTGACTTATGTTTGGAAGGGTATTTTAGTCTATCACAAAATGACGCATCTCGATAATGAAATTACGGTATTACCCTTTGACAACCCATGGCATCATTAAAATCAAGGGATGTGCATGCCTCTACATTCAATCTTTTGACACACCCACTCTGATATTACGTTATAAGTTCGAATTACACGCACTTTGATAATACGTTTATTTTAACTTAATTCGGGACATTTTTTGTAAGAGAAAAGAAAATAGAGGGAGACAATAATAAGTAAGAGGGTATTTTAGTCCTTTTAAAGCAATTAAACACCTCTATTATTTGACTTGCCAACCTCCTCAAACAACAGAAGTGGCAGACCAAGACCAGGTGAACGTGACAAGTACTTGCCCTAAAAATTAAAAGTATTATATATATATATATAATAAATAAAAGTGAGGCTTTTTCTTGTTCAGAGAAATTAAGGTTTCCTAATTTGGAAATATTTGGAGCGTGACTGAAATTGGCAAATTTAATGGTAAATTGTCCTTTGCTTGTCTTTTATCTTTCCAAAAATAACACCATTTATGCTAAAAGAAGAAACCTCTTAGATTCACAGATATTAGTACATAACAATCAATCAAGTGGTTTATTTTTTATATTTTAAAACCCAATCACCACATGGGTATGTGTTTTTTTTTATGAATATTTGATTAATTAACGTGATTAAAGGTGATTAATCTTTTTGTAATACAGAGTTATTCGAAAACGACTCCCTTTTTTTTTCAAGGAAAGTAAAGAGTACGGGTGTATTTCACGTTTCACTGATTTGAAAATATTATGTAGCGTTTTCTTTAGTTTTTGTCGGAGAAAGAAAACACTGAATCTGAGGATTTATGGAGCATATGTTTGTATTTGTTTTCTAAAAGAATGAAACCAGGTGTCTGAAACTGATTGATGAATAAAGATCTTGTATTTGAATGTCTACTGATATATGAGTATGAAAAATGTGGTATATGATGTTCTAGAAGCCGTAGGGTCAAATTTTACGGGTGACTGTCCGAACTGTAAATGAATTTCCGATCAGATGTATTCATGTGTTTGGCATGTCTACAATGATGAATATTTCATAGTTGTGAATCACTTAACATCATAGTATCACATGCAGAAGAATTAGTCACTAATTTATATATATCAAGTTGATATTTCTTTATACAATAATTGCATTATCGAAAAAGACTCAATAAATTATATAAAATTGTTTAGGGGTGTTTGGGATTTGTTTATTTGAAACAACTTATGTTTTTTTACAAAAACATTTATCAACTTATTATAAGTCAGAAGGATTTAACTTCTTCAAAAACTGCTTATTACCGGTTTGGCACCGGTATAAGTTGTTTATCCAAACACTCAAAAGTACTTATTACCGGTATCACACCGAAATAAATCAATAAGTTGTTTTTATAAGCAATCTCAAACACCCCTAAAACATTATCTCCACACATGGTCATGATTAAAGATATGATGCAAATTTTAATTTAATTTGTATTTTAAATTCAAAATATTTTGCTTTATGGTTTTAAAAAAAATAAAAAATTTATTATCTATACTATATTATAAAACATTTGACA